AGAATCACACCATCATCTTCAATTAAGTGATTATAATCCAGTAGATCTAAAACCAATCTAATATTATTGTGGATAGAACGATTCTTAATGAGCCCAGACTGTGTTTCACTAATAATCCGATCTAAGCCGTCCTTTAATCTGTTTGCAATAACATGAGCAAGAATTTTATAATCTGTATCCAATAGAGTAATTGGTCGTAGATTATCGATTAATCTTTTATCTTTACCAGGTTTGGGAATAAGGGAGATAAGACCCTGTTTCATTGTCGTTGCTAATGTTTCATTACTAATGATTTCACTAATAGTTTGGAAGAAAAATTATTTTATTTCTTTCCAGAAGAATTTATAAAAGATGGCAAGCCGTCCTGACCAGCTTTGTCCATTTTCAGTTTGTTTAAGGCTTGATCTCAGTCATCCAGAGATATATCACAGTCACAAATGTCTCTGAATGCAGAATCGATTTTTGGAGAATAAGGTTCAATCTGATCAAAAAAACTTAATGAATCAGTAATTAAATATTTCGAGGAGTATAAATTTGAGTAAAATTTATGTTTTTCTTCCGCTATAGTCTTATGATTTGTGCATTCCTCCCCATTTACGATTAATGTATCAATAGATTTGTTCTCTTGCCTCCGTTTCTCCAGATTGTAGAAACATGAAGCACTTTTTCACCTTCTTCTTTCCATTTTGCACGAGCTCTAATGTAAGCTCCATGAGCCTTGTTCTTGTATAGCTCATCTAATTGAGCCTGTAAAGACAAAAGGGATTTCTTATCAGCCTCTGACATTAACTGTCTATTACAATAGTTATTTTTATTGTAAAGTAATTTACTTTCAAATTCCTTCTGGTCTCTACTTTTCATTTTACTAAATGTAATTGAAATTCTCTAACTTTAAATTTAAAAAATTCCCATCTGTGTGTGTGTAAGTACCAATTGTTACATTGTTGTAAATGTTATGGAGGAGCTCTTTAACTATCGTAACATACCCATCATCAATTAACAGATCTGCATTGAATTTCCAGTAATATTTTTTAAATTGTGTTTTATTTTCAGGGTTACGTTTAAGAGTAATAATACTGTGATCTGTCAGCGGGGCTGCTGAGATGGAAACATCTTTTGTTCTTTGTCTAGGTGAGTATTGATCGCAACAGGAAATTGGCCCACTCCCGCACCACCAAAGCAAGAACACAAACAGTCGTATCTTTTAAAGGGCTAAGCAGCCATTTATTTTCTTCAGCAGTGCCAAAAATAACAAACAAACCTCCCTGATGGTCCCCACGCTTTCCTACACAAATGACAACCAAACAAAAGACGATTCACTTCACAAACTTTCTGAATGAAAAACAGGAGAAAACTCAATCAACAAAAATGGCTTCTCACGCCTACAGGCTGCTGCAGTGAAGGATATATACAAGGGGAACAAAATACACGATTGCTACTTTGCAAATCTATTACAGCTATTTACAAAATGGAGGTACTAACGCCAGACACACACACACACACACGGTTATACTTGCAAATCACTGGGCACAGACACTATGAAATACGACTCAAAAACACAGGCTCTTTGTTGGATGGTGGAGGCTGATAGAGAGTGGCTGTCATCTGGTAGTTAAATACTGGAGGTGATCAACCAATTATCCAATCCGAGGACAGGAAGAGACTCCACCCAGCTACTCAGCAGGCACGCCCAGGTGTCCACCTCCTAAGAGAGAAAGGGGGAAAACCCACAGCCATCCTCTGGTGGGAGGAGTCACACAAAACAAACACTGACAACATTGGATCATAACAAAAGCGTCAAAAAAGGGGGACTAAAAGGTACCTTGCACCAGAGCTAAGTTGAGGACAACTGCTTAGTTCGCCATCTTGCCGGCCCCGCTTCCAGCTTTATTTGTGAAGAGCACAGCAGCTTACAAAACACGTAGCTAGCTCGTACAGCTGCTTTCATAAGATGACCTTAAAATAACGGAGCTACGTGCGGTGATGCTAGCGTTAGCCACGTTAGCACATTACCATCAAAAACGATTTAAATAAAATAATCAGAAAATATCAGTGACCACAAAGATGCTTTCAGCTTTTTATGTTCATCAGTAACAACAAGAACAGAAATGTGTTGAACGTTATTAAATATCCCAGTTCTTTGATCTTTGGGCTGAAGGAAGAACAACACTCGGTGTTTGATGCTCAATCATCTCTTTAATCAGTACAAACACTTTGAGCATTACAAACGGCCGGACGGGAGATGGAGGCTGTCCGGCAAGTGTCCAAGTGTCTGACCCTTTCTCACATTCTTATAGCTTCAGGCCTCCTCCAAACAAAGCATTCACATTCTCTCTCTCAGTGAGCTTGTTACGATCTTGGCCTCCTGTGCAGTATGTTCTGTTCTTTCTAACCAGACAAATAAGGCCACGATTCTACACAAACAGCATTTCTTATTAATCAACAGTATAATGCATCATAAAACAGTGTAAAACCCCATTCCTGTTTTTTCTCAGAATAAACCATTTTTTCACTTGTACGTGGGGATTTTCACATCAAATCCACTGGAGCAGCTCCAGCAGCACGTTGATACACAGACATCAACAAGCTTTGTCTCTCAAAAACTGGGTGCCTGCTGGTCCCTCTCTAGTCTAAACAACAGTGTTTCACTAACTTTCTACTAGAAGATGGTGCCCTGTTATCTACTTTCTCCCAGGCCGGCGTGGGCGAGAGTCTGCACCTGCTACCCCCCAAGGACACGTAGTCGAATGCCTTTGTTTTTCCACGTGTGTCCACTTAATACTACACTATATGGTTCTGTGGTATTTTAGTTAATATAAAGCATAGAATTGAAGCACTTCAAATAATTTCATCTCAACACTGCAGGTCTCCAACCTTACAAACAGGACATTTGTGTAATACCTGACCCACTGAATGAACAACGGGCTGTGGGGTCAGTTTATGACCATTAATATGTAATTTTATGTATATTTAGCAATTTCATACCTGAAACGGTTTCATACAGCATTTTTCTGGAGCTACTAATCTTATTTTTATAATATTCTGTACAGTTTCTCTTTTTATCCCTTATATATAGACACATTTCTCTTCTACTCCTAGGTGAACATATGTGAGATTTTTCTCATCCCTTTATTTATTAATTATACTCTGATGGTGAGGAAATGCACCAGATTTCATTCTGATGTGCTCATGGTTACAGTTACATTTGGTTAACATGATGACAGAGTATGTGGAAATCTGGCACTCTTTCCACTTCTTGATTAGAGAAGAGTTTATTTCCCACTTCCACCATAAAGAGGAAGGTTAAACTATCAGGCTTCACCTTCTGGAACAGCACCGCCCAAAATCTTTAGTGTGTTCGGCCTCTGAACAGGTGGAGCGTTGAGTGCTGTGAGTGGGAGTCAGCATCACTTCAGTTCAGCTTCAAGGTCTCGTGGAACTTGGTGAGGATTTCATCAAAGGAGGCATCTCTGGTCACCTGCTCCACAAACTGACGGACTCCGCTCGCTAAAGCCCGATAGTACCTCCTCACCTCCTCCAGCTCACACTGCAGTCGTTTCTCTAACTGCTGTTTCTCCTCCTGAGCCTCCGTCAGCTTCTTC